TCCCTCTACAACAATTCCGGACGTCTTGTCTTGAGTTCGGTGGCATTCAGTCAAACTTCCGCGTAAACGGCACATTTATAGAATGGTTGCGCTGTATAAACGTGGTTAGGCGAAGACGCCAAGAGAGTCGTGAATACTCCCATGCGAGAGCACGACTTTTTTCGGTTTTCATAAGAAGATAATTTCCATTCAGCCATAATGTATTACTTTTTCTCTTTACGTTTTCTCTCGGCAGAATAATTAACTTTTGTGGTTTACGGAGAGTAAAAAAAGGCATTCTAATGCCCACGACTAAGGTAATAACTCTATGAATAAGCTCTAGACACACAGACGTGGCGACCTCAGAAAGTTGGTAGCAAGAGGATGGGGTCATCTAAATGATACTTCGTGACGTTTATTTATAAAATTAATTACATTTTTAATGAGTAAATGCATAACACATTCAGACTTTTGGATGTATAAAATGATATCTGAACTTCAGCACGTGATAGAGTATTGAACCTCATATTCCCTTTAAAATAAATCGAATAGCACAAGGAATAACGTACGAATAATTATTATAGCTATTAATTGACTTTTTTTATACCACTTGAGATATCACTTGAGATATTCATTTTCTTTCATATAAGTTTGTAATTGATTTTGTACAAAAAGCAACTAATATTTTCAAAAGTTGTGACGGATGCCATGGAAACATTAGCATCGGAAGTAAGTAATTAATATTTTAAAAGAGTTTTTTCTTGGCCCAAAAGCCCTCAGCAGCTGAGTACGATACATTGAGTGTAGATTGAATAATATTAATATTGCTTATGATACATGATTGGTAGATTAATAAAGTGAGTATAAAAACACGTTAAGTAGATTCAATAACTATTTGTGGATTAAATGTGCGAAGCCACATCAGGATGATCAGGGAGAGTCGAAGAACGGCAACGAAGGTTCCTCTTTAGTCTATTGTGAGGAGGATTCGGTTTTTGCTTTTGAAATGTACGGCTGACGGAAAAACGCAATGTAAAACAGACGTAAAAAGTGAACTTTTTAAAGGGAGAATCTAAAGTCGTCCACTCTGTACTTTAATACTTTTTAGATTATCCTCTTTCCGAACGTTACGCTTACTGCTACAAACAAAGAGAATAATAATTCTCTATTATTACATGCACCGAACGAGGTGGCTGAGTGTATAGTGAACTGAATTCGCAATCGGGAGCTCTGGGGTCCTTCCTCGGGCCAGCCATTCTGATCGGAGCTTTCATTGTTTCCTTTGGTCATAAGACGAATGCTGGGATGATTCAACAATGCCACGCTCAACTCCTACCACCATCATCCTTCAATTTTCCTCTCATCATCACCCTATCACTTCTTTCAGCATTTCCCGCAAAAGACTGGAGGCCCTTGCCCTTAAAGGTATTTTAGTTGGCTGATGATAATAATAATAATTATTATTATAATTATAATTATTATTATAATTATAATTATTATTATTATTATTATTATTATTGTATGACTTGAAATATCTAAATGTATACTTTTTATGAAAAACATTTTGGATATTATTATTTACAGCATATTTGGAAATCTTGGACCAAGTGGAAACCAAGAGTTGTGACGACTGCAATGAACGTTACTAAATATTGTAAAAATCAACTCACTAGATTATGAATTTCCCTCGAAATAGAACCCCTTTCCTTTACTCACTGGATGGCGAGTAGACCATAAAAGGACAATTTAGGGAAACCACAACAGAGAATACGTTGCCAATGAGAACTTTAAGTACTGTATGCATAATTGACCATAAAAAATTATGTACGAGTCTTTAAGCTATCTTAGGGACATAAAACGGCTTGAGCTTACATTTCATTGTTACGTTTCAATGTTACGTTACGCCGCAATATATGCCGGCTTTGAATGTGGTATCATTACGTGTTTCCTGTCGGCGTTTGGAAATAAGCGCCGCTGTACAAATAAGGGCCAGGTTTAGAACACCCAGTTCTAATCGTTTTGGGTGGCGAGATCATCGTGCGGAAACTCTTATGTCTGAGAATGCTAGTTCCCGTACCATTATAAAGAATGAACTATATCGATCGTCTGCTATTGCGGTATGTCCCCGTGTTCGGTGGAAGGAAAGGAGTCGATTGATAATGAACGATGAAGATGCCATCGATCTCTTGATATGGTGTCAAGATTTTTTATTAAATATCGGAATCGCATTACTTATTCCACCTTTAATGGAGGGGATAACTGAACGATAGGTACAAACTAGTAATGTGGTGTGCTTCACGACAAAAACATTCAAAACTCGAGCACTTTTCACATTGGCATGTTGCAAACCTCTGCGTACTTGTGCAATTGAAACTGGGCAGGCATGTGAATTATGTAATTTCGTAAAAATGTTTGTTTACTTTTTTACTAAAATTAATTACAATTTTGTTGTAAATTTTGTTCTTTGTGAGAGACCTCAAGGTGCTTTTTACAAGCCAAACACGCCAAAACTACCACAAACTGCGCTCAGAGCACGCTCCGCTGATATAGAGAGATCAATCTAACTAAGAAGGAACCACTTTGAGAGCTACTGCTTGGCCATTGCTGGCAATATAACTACATGTAACGTCGTGCAATCATTTTGTCAGTTCATTCGATTACAAATACATCCATTATGGAAAAAGAGGACATTTTGTCTAAAAAAGAGGACAATGCTTATAAAATGTTTTAATGTAATAATTTATTTTTCTGAAAAACAGAATATTCGCTACTGACAAAATAAATGCTTCATTGTCATGACATTCACAATCAAATGATAGGCCTACTTCATTTTCAATACTCTCAGTTCCACTTTTATACCAGGAGTATTTGGTGAATGATGAATTCTCCCTCAAAAATTAAAAATTTGCTTTTCTTTGCTTTGAACATTGCAACAAACGCTTTGAACTTTCTTAAGTAGATGATTAAACAAGGTTTTCCTTTTTAGCATCCTGCTCAAAATATAAATATCCTAGAGCAGTATGAATTCCTCATGCCAAATGAACTGTATTAATACAGAGAATAACAGAGCACAGAATTTGTATATTCTGCATCAGCGTGTAATGCGTTGTACAATATGTTGTATCAGCTGATGGGAACACTATCGCAATTAATTAAGTGACTAAATCTACATGTAGTTCATGTATGGATTTTGACACATGGTAGACGAAGAAGTTGCAGTTAAATGTCATTTATTTATACAACTATGAAATGTTATGATGTCGGGGTCCCGAAAAGTTGAGAAAAGCCTTCGCACGTACACGTATTGTAACTTTTACCCCGTTAAAGGGGTGACACAACGCCCTAACGACACATTCAAATCGAGCGAGCAGTACGCGAGGTATCCCCGATTTATATTATACTCTTACAGACTTGAGTTGTAGTGTCTGTGCCGAGGAATGGAAGAGTCGAGAGAGGGGAGTAGAACGAAGTAGGAACACATCAATGTCGGATAGTGATATGGTGGATGAGTAATATTGGATCGTACTTGCCCGTTAACGTAAAAATTTGGATACAGCTAAAAAATGAAGGTATGTACGTCCAGTCAATTAATAAGATGAATATGAAGAGAGAGTATAAATAGGTTAATGGGCATCAAAAATAACGAAAGTATTTCGTTGCAGATTTTCTTCTTTCGTCCTTTCTTTTAATATTTTGATGTATTAATTTACTTTCAAAAGTTTGATATTTTCGACACAACGATTTTGTTCTATCTAAATGCGTGGATTAGGTAAAATCGTGTCGGTATACCAAGGGTAAAGAACTAGAACAACATCATATGACGAACAGTAAAAGAAAAAGTGCTAGACAAATTTACTTACGACCGTGTAAATATTTAATTGGGCGTGGGTTTGTGCAGATTGTGACATTGTATTTGTATTTGTTGTTTTGTCAATTTTTTTCTTGAGGAGAGAAAACCCAAACTTTGTTATCGATTGACTTTGCTATTGTAAAAAGGGTATTTTTTGTTTTGTTGTTTAAGAATATATTTATTTTGGTTTGAAAATTTTCTGCATACATATACTTTCTTTATTGAAAAACAGAAATCCACGATCCTGTTTATATCTATTTCGTTGTTGCTTTTTTACTATGGAAAAGTTGATTATGCGAAAGTCACACTTGTGAACGTCTAATATTTGCAACAAAGGTAAAAGGTTAGAATGATTTCAATATAGTTTCATTTAAAAGTAATTCCCCCTTTCCAATAAAAAAGAAATCACTTCGACCTTTCTTATAAAATCCCTCCGGACAGGTTTTATTACTTCAAAACATGTCCTGGAAAAGAGGACGTATGGTAAATCTAAATTGGAGTACCAAATGAACAGTTATCTCGGTGAAAAGAGCATGTATCCGAACGCGGGCTGTTGACGTATTCCTGCCACAATCAATGAACGGGTTGAAGTTTTTTTAATTGAACGTATATATTTACAATACATTCGTACATGAAAACAATAAGTAAATTTCTTCATTGATAATCAACATTGACAGAAGAAGATACTCATTAGTGTCTCTCCATTAATACAGTTGATGCACCTACTACACTTCAGAATTAGAGAGGCAAATCCAGAGGCTTGATTTTTTAAGACGTCTTAATTATAAACTGTTATAAATGTATGGTTAGAGTATTGGTATGACATTCTAATTCTTTAATATGGTTCATATTTTTTTTATTTGATAATTCCCTTTACGTTATTGATTGTATTTATATTATTGTAACTATCTGACAGGAATCTAAAGTGATATTTCCAGCGTTCAATGCCGAACATCACTGCAGTTAAATTGAGACATCTTTGTCATAAGTATCATTATTCCAGTTCCATCGCGTAAATTTCGAAGCCACTGCAAAGTGTCAAGATTACTTATAGCATTCAACACGAAGAACGTACCATTTCTTTATTAATTTTCGTCAGTGTTTACAATTAAATTTGAACAATTTTTACAATCTAAGTATTGTAATCACTCATTATCTGTTTGTGTTACAGAGCGTGGTTTTCCACGTGTCACAACATCCAGAATATCCAGATTTCTACCAATGCGTCTCCTTCGGATTTTTCCGGTCCCAGGTGGAGGAGACGGCCTACAACCTCTTCTGCGTGTTCGCCATGTACTTCGTGCCATTGTTCGTCATCTGTTTTGCCTACTCATGCATACTGTTCGAAATCACCAGCAAGTCAAGGGAGACCAAAGGTAAGAATATGCACGACTTTAATGAATTACTGTACGTTTGTTGAGTTTTGTCAGATGTTCATTTGGGCGTCGTGCCTGGATTGGTGCCTGTAACACCTTCAGAGCGGTTGTAAGCTATATAGCACTAGGTTTCTATGTTTTAATGTATCATTTATAAGCAGTCATCTGTTGTTTCTGTCCTGATCAGAAATGATAATTGTGAATTTGGAGCTAAGAAGTAAAATTGCTTTTGTTAAGGAATTAGAAGATACCATGTTAAAAAATGTTTTCACAAACTTCTGGACTTCTTGGACCAATGGAATCTGGGGCCGGGATCTAGTGGATACTGGCCCACCTCCACCCCTTTATTGCGAGTGTTTGCGTATAATGTAATTTTTTCCCTAAAAAAACGTGTATAACTCTTAGAAGTACAAGAGAATGTTAAGCATGTTAGTATAACATTCACTGAATTTCCATAACCCTGCAATAAGTACGATAATAATTATTACAGGATTTTCTCGTGAAATCGATATATTATTAGTAAAACATAATACTATTATTTGCAGTTTATTGGTAACTCATTCATTTTATTAATTTTTAATATTAATTGGTAATTAGTCGATGATCATTCGCAATAACTTTTTGCCTAATCGGAATGATTTCTTGACCACATAAAAAGGGACTTTAACACCTCTCAGTTCGTTTTATCTAAAAAAAACATTTGTTATCATACTTGTGTCTTTCTTCGTTGAGTATCGAGCTCCCTGTAACATTTGTTTTCAAATGACAGTGAAACCTCTCGACAAGACCACCTCTTGAAGAAGATGACCCCCATCTCGAGACCATTTTTCTAAGGAACGGCGTAATTATTCCATGAGACCAATGTATTTTACCTCCTTAAATGCGACCGCCCCTCTTCCCAACAACAACCACAAATACCACTAAGACTTTGACCAGAAGACCAGGCGATCGGAAAACCTCGCACTGAAATAAGAAACCCAAGAGTTCGCGTGTTACTCTGAGCAAAGGCATTTCCGATGTCTCAGATAAACAATAACATTTGGGCGCATGAAATTTCACGATACCTCTGAAGGGAAGACCTTCCAGGAAATAAAGATCAACTATCGCGTTATAAATTTGAATGATAATTCCACAGAATCAAAATAAAAGCCTTTGATTACAAGATCGTTTAATGTTATAGTGATATACTATAAGAAGGGACCGTTTTGACAACTAGTGCTTGAACACTGATGGCTGTATAACTGCAAGTTACGTCCATTCACTCGTTTTGTCAGTATTTCCGTTTGCAGTTGTCTCATTTACAAGTCGCTGCATCATTATCCTTCGAAATTTCATCACCCTGCATGGCGTTCATTTGTTTCCCGACCGGTCAAAGGAGTCCCTACTCAGAGTAACTCCTCTCTAATTACCATAGGGAGCAGAATTCTGAAAGTACAAGGTAATATTCTGCTTTGTAAAAATAAATAATAAATGCAGTTGATCAAAGTAATTTAATGATGCAATACAATAAAGCACTAATATGAATCCAGAGTAGTATTACGATATCTAAAGTAGTGTAAAGTAATACGATAGTGTAAAGTAAGCGATAAGTAAAGTCGTAGCAACAGCAGCGGTGAGTATTGTTCAATAATGAAATGTTCCCTTTTAGAAGACCACCCCTTTAAAAGATCAATTTTAAGGTAGTAATCATATGGTCAACTTGAAGAGGTTTCTTTGTATTTCACTTGTTTGACACAGCTATCATCTTGCGTTTCCGGCACCACAGGGACAGGACAGCGTGTCCTAGAAAAACTGCACACGTTCCTCATCTATACTAAAAACATTTTTCTCACGTCCGACAATAAAATGTATGTGTTTGAGAAGAACATAAAACAGCATACCGTATTAACGCGAATCTAATGGGGATCACGATTTTGAGTATATATTTTATAAAAAAAGGTGTGTATTCGATTCTCGTAAATACAATAATCACATTGAATAAAATCCAACTTTCAGAATGTATCATACGACGTTTTGTTTAATACTTCAGATTCCTAATTAAAGACCTGTAAATGCGGAAACACCATTTTCATATAATACGGTTTCTTCATTAAAATGTACTGCCTGCAGTATACGTTTTTCCCACTTTGAAGTATAAATTCCCTAATTAACGTCCAGACCTTGAAATTGCGAGTAAACATTTCTCTCATACCTCACAATCCTTCGTACTATTAATACTTGTTGACGGTTCAGAGCAAAGCTACATTTCCTAGCAGTTTTTTTTCTCTGAGCAGAACACCACAATGGATCTCATATTTTTGAACTGCCTTCAAAAAAACGCGAGAACTAGTTGTTCAAGCAGGGTGCGTTTCCTTCCGAGCGAGGCAGAAGCGCCGACAGAGGTCAAGCAAAGGAAAAGCATTCATATCCGACGAGGAGATGCCCTTCGCGAACGCCTTTCATTTCCGACAGACTAACAAGATGGCGATGGAGCACCATATTGCCACAGCGTTCGTCCTCGTGTTTATGAGAGGTACCATGCAGCGCGCGCCTTCCCAGACAACTCTTAATTTGGCGGAGAAATTGCGCCTGCAAACGCCCAACATTGGAATTGTGAACGTTCCTGAGAATTTTATCTTCCTTTGAACGCCGGCTGGGAATTTCAAATATTTTACGTGTTTGTTTTCAATATTTTCATCTCGTTGCGTTGCAAATTCTGATAAGTATTTATGTATATTTCTTTAACTTTTGCCTTTTTGAATGAAATTGTCTCACTCTCACCTCGTTTCTTTCTGCCTTTCTTTCGCTCTCTTATTTTATACTCCCTCTTTCTCTTCCTTGCTCTTTGTCACCCTCCCTCCCTCTCTCTTTTTCTCTCCCCTCTCCCTCTTTCTCACCCTCACTTCCTCTCTTTCTCACCCTCGCTCCCTCTGTTTCTCTCCCTCCCCTTCTATTTCTTTCTCTCCCTCTCTATCTCCCTGCTTCACGATCGCGAATCGAACCTAGTACCTAGAGAAAATTACAACTCTACATGGTATGGGTAGTGGATCCATCTTGAATATTTCAAATTTTACGCAAGGATTTTTTTCAGTTTCATAGCGGAAATTTGCAATCTCTGACATATTTCGTCTTTAGTTTTAGTTTTACTTTGCTCTTCAAATATCACGTCATCTAAATGTTGTAGAATTGTTTGAAAAGATCATAGTATTTAAGTCTCAGGATAGATATTCCTTCTTTATTAAACGCGGTTTGAAAAAGTTCCTTTCAGCAATTGTCATAGGATATGATTTAGGAGCCCTGAAGCGAGTGACCGAAACATTGAAATGAAATTCAAAAGAATTATCGTCTGTTACTGTTTCTCCCTACATCTTATTCTCAGTTATATCCATCACATTTCGAACTTACACTGTTGTAGAAATGATACAAGAAATGTGCATAACATGAGAAGTTCAGTGGAAATACATTCATTAGCAGGATTTTCCCTGGCCGACATATTATTTTGTAACTTATCGTAATTAAAAAGTTGAATTGCGTCCCCTCTCAACCGCTATTTAGATCAAAACATTGTGGAACATTGCATACAATATTGTGAGGCTGACCTGGGTAGCCGAGAAAGCTAAGTTATCAATTCGAATAGGCTAGAGGTGGAATATCGAATAAGAGATGAATGTTTGCGTGTAACTGTGACATTAAGGGCCCCTTCTACGTTAAAACACATTTCTTTCCTTTACTCTCAAGTGCGGCTTACAGCCAGACTGTTGACTTGAATCCCGCGGAAGACGTGGATGTTGGGTGTCGTGACACGGCACACGTCCCTTGCACATGATGTATCCCTACCTCACCCCTACTTCACAAATTCTATCTGTGAATCCTTTTTCTTCTCTCGCATGTTGTGTGCGCTGTGGCAAGACAGGTGCGCCGTGGTGCAAGGATGAAACGGTTGTTAGTGATTCCGGGGGCTATCACTACTAAGGTCCTTAGTCCACTAAGCGTGGTTCGTGTTTTACTCCTCGTGATGTGGTGGTTATATTTTCTCGCTGGGTGGCGAGATCCGGCCCTGACCTACCATCGGCTAGTGGGGTTTTTCTTCAACCAGGTATCTCCCACCAAAGGGCCCCCGCCTCATCCGGGACAAATTCTAAGCTTCCAACCGGTCTCGCGGCATGTGTGGTAGTGTAGTGCATGTTAGTGTAAGTGTGTGTGTGTGTGTGTGTAAGTAAGTAAGGAATTAGAATAGGACAAGGAAGAGGTAGGAAAGAACGCGCGCGGTCCGTGGGTAGTTTGTTAGGGTTTTGCTCCGGCATTCGACTGGTGTTGATCGTAAAAAGCACGGAAAACTATTGATTAGGGAAGCTGGCCGCTAGGATAATCCTCCAGACAGCGACTAAATTCGACCTAAGAGTAACTGACACGCTAGTGTCAAAAATTCGGCCATTGTCGAACCTAGGATCACCCGGTCAGAGGGGACTGCGGTGACATCCAGGGACATCTGCGGGCCCTGAGCCACCTCTCCTGGAGCCAGGATGAAATAATAAACTTTGTCAACTTAGATGTATTAAGAGGTGGCTTGCAACGCGTTGTTGTCATCAGTTTTACTCTATGTGGTGAATGTTAGGTGACAGCGTCTATCTTGGAGCCTGTCTCTCGACCTCTGTCACATAACAGCAGGCAGACTGACGACAAAGCCGTCAGCTTGTCCTGTTAATAAATATATGTTGATTATACATATATATATATATATATATATGTATATTGCAGTAGATTTTCAAACGCAGAGAAAACCAGTCAACGTAGATATTTTTGGCAAAGTGCACCAATGAAAGGAGAAGTAGCTATTTCTACATCTGCCGTTAGAATTTATTTCTAGCCTTTTAGATGTTGGATGCTGATTGCCTACTCAAGGCCAGTTGCAAGATGTAAATGGCACATTTTCAATTGAATTAATATATCAACGTATAAGTAAAATGTTTCTCACTGTAGTAAGTCAGAGAATGAAATTGTAAGGAACATATTTCCATGTGAGGAAGAAATTATTTTAATTTCATTTACTTTCATCAAACGTAGACATTTTCGCTGTCTGTTGAAAGAAATCTCAAAAATTCTTGGAATTCACATTTCAAGCTTATGATTCTCAGATATTTCGGTGTGTAGAAGTGAAAATAAAATGTCTGATTATGAATTCAAGTTTAAATTGAATCATGTAGGGCTTCTTCACATTTGGGGACGAGATTGTTAATACGTCTTCCTTCGTACTCGGCGAATGAATATTCAACTTTAAGATTAAGAATTTTCTTTTCAATATTAATGTTTATGCGCGAATCATCTTTTGAAGCTGTTGAAATGACTAATATATTATTACGCGCAATATTGAGCGAAAGGAACCATGAAATCGGCATGGGTTCATATTCCGTTTTGAATGGTGATACGTGGAAAGGGAAAAGTAAATTTCACTAATATGAAGGGAAATTCTTTCAATAAAGAATATTTTATGGATAAGGGTTTTATTACTTTCTAGACGTTGCTCCCAAAATAAATTTGGTATCTTCTAAGAAGGTATACGAAGGGGATATGTTCATTACATATATATATATATATATATATATATATATATATATATACGTATGAATATGAGATCCATTTTTGTCCGCCAAGGGTCATGTTTAGAGGGTAGGTTCTATCTAAACATTTAGGATGGACTTTTCTTGCAGAGAGAATTAAAATTAATTGTTATACGAAAGGCAAAATTAAGTAAATGCTGTCTTAAACAGTGCAATAAGAACTATCCGTACGAAACGTTTGAAGAAAAATTAAAGCCATATTTGAGGATATGGCAGTGAAGTTTCTGAAAGTGCAAAATTTTGAGCTTGTTTACACAGTAAATTATTGAATATGTAATAAACACAATTTGACATCATTTAAATCATATGTACTGATAAATACAATAATATGAACAAATCGCCGTAAATGTAAATATTAACGACGCGAGAAGCTAGTCAAAAAATTACAATTTTGTAATTTTTGAAAAACAGAAGAATAAAGCAAAATGGTTGAATGCCATCTCATCGAGTACATTTGGAACAATATCAACCGAAAGTTTTGGAAAGGTGAAGGTGTTGTTGATAATATCTTGTTTTTCTTATTTTTTAATATCACACATTTTACAAGAACTACTAAACTTTCCAAATAAATGAACATGACCTAAACGAAGGACTTAAAAACGGAGAACCAATTTAATTTCAAAGACAACAATTTATCTTTTATTTTGTAGTTGTACGAAGACTCCGGAAATAAAATCAAACTTTCGAAAATTCAGAGTTGACTAAGAAAATTGTGAAAGTGAAATTTCTGAAAGTGAAAAAGTGAATTTTACTCTATTCTTTCAAAACATTTTATGATGAAATTGGGCCATGTTTTAAAAATTGAAAATGTTCAAAGAGCTTCATGTAAAGCGCCTCGAGTGGAGCCAGATCGATCGGGATAATCCGTTTTGGAAAACATCCTAAGAATGGTTTAGGTGCTAGTGGTGTTCACTGACGGCCATACGGACGGACAAGAAGACAGTCGAACGGACAATTTGAGAAAAACACTTTTTTGATACCAGGGGGCTAGATACTTGTTGGGTTGTGGACTATCCACATACTCTTGCTAGCTGCCATCTATCAAAGCCCGAAGTACATTTTTTTTAAATTGCTCACTTTGTCGGTTTCCTAATAGTTGAACCAAAATATTACTTCACAAATATTAAAGAAGAGTTAAACGTGTTCTTAAAGAGAAATTTTCGTTGAAAAATTTGAGGGCCTTTTTAAGAAAATGGTGTTTAATTATTACTGAAAATGCGAAATATAAAGCTCATTTTCACAATAAAGTTTCGAGTTTTTGAAAAACGCCCTTTGAAATTATTTGAAGCACTTTATATCTCACATACAATCGTCTTTACAAATTGCTGAAAATGTGATACAAGCGGCGAAAGAGAAATTGAAAACAAACTACATTTGTGTAATTTTTGACAAGTATATTTAGCACTATCACTACCAAAAGTTTAACGAAATAATTTGGAGTCGTTTTTGTGAAAATCTTGTTTTTATTCTTTAAAATTGCATACATTGCACGCAATATTGCCTGTAATCTTCTAAAATTTTCAAAACAATGTTCAACACCTTAATACAACTAAGTAGAAAAAAATTTAATTGAAGGAAAAATCCATATTATTAATTTTCTTGTTGTTGGAAGTCGTCGAAAAAATTCAAACTTTTGAAATTTTTGAAAATTCAGAGTTTCCCCCCAAAAATTGCCCTTCTTTCTTCATCTTTATAAGTAGTTTTCTATTCTTACAATGAACGTAAAGAAAAAAATTGGAGAAATTTTTAAGGAAATTTTTAAAGTGTCGCAGGGATTTTCATGAATATTACTCTAAACTTTTAAAGAAAGTTTTGAAAATCTCGAAGATTGGACTCGATGGATTAGGCGGCGATAGGGCTCACGGACGGATGGACGGACGGATGGACGGACGGATGGACGGACAAACGGGTCGGAGGGTGGGCGAAACGGACCGACTGAGGCAACTATACTTTACACTCTTCCCATATCTAGCAAAATACGATCTCGAAAAATCGAGCGCAGACATTGTTCCTTGTTTACTTCAAATTTATCGAATGCAGAATAAGGAATTTGTATTATTTACACCAGCCTTTCAAATCTTTGACCTCATCTCGCACGCCTGTTCGTATAATGAAATGCAACTTCGATGCGGTAGCAAATTTAAATTTCACGAAATAAATTAAAAATAGTTCGAAAATAGGTTCTATGTATGCTAGGCAATGAATCGTAAATATCCCTTGTGGACTGCAGTAGTAGCAGAACTAAAAATATACACATGTTGAGTTAATGAATTAAATATTTGTATACTTTCCTGTAGCAACAGCGGCATTTCCTACAGTACAGTATTTCACAAACAACTGGGAGAAGTGTGACTACAAGAATTATGAATACAAGGTGAAAATTTCAAATTCGTGGATCTCAACACCTGTTTTTTTTTAAATTACGTTCCTCGAACGATATTACAGAATATTCTTTATTATGAACTCTATCCTCCAAAAGACTTTTTGCAAAGTTGATTTTTTCCTTCGTAGTTTCGTAGTTGATTGTTTCGTAGGAGAGTCACCATTCTACGCTCCCGTCTTATTCTACGTACAGACATTCACGGAATGCGTGGATGTAGAACACGGGAAGTTGAGTAAACAGACATCAGCACTTCTATTTCCATCTACAAACTTTAAGTGATCAAGCAATAAATATGCCCTCGCGCCCGGTTGAATTAACGCTGAAACTTCATACTGTGAGCTGTAAAATCCCTGCCGTCATTTTTGGTTGCATTGCTACAAAGTTTGCTACTCACTGATTTCTTTCTTCGCACAAATATAAGTTGGTAGTTATGCTATTCGCTAAAATTTCATGGTTCTAGCTCGTTTAATGACAAATTTCGGCCAATAAACGTTTGAACAGATATGATAAGAGATGTGCCATGTTCTCAAGAGTAAGAGATGAGAAAACAAAATAAAATGTCACTAAAGTTGAAGATACGTATGTTAAAAAACAGTACAACTCTATAAAGTTGGTAATAAAAATATCTAAAAAAGTATAGGCAAGATTGTGTAGACTTTCGCGGCCATAGTTTGTGTAGGCTATCCGGACCAACGTATTGTGGCGTTCTTCAGAGCGTACTGCCAGCAGAACGCTCTGAAGAAGGTCACAAACGCTGACCGAAACGTTAGCCACCATGTCAATGACGCGGCTCGTCCCGAATAGCCTAGATAACAAAAGTATAAGTAAGCACGTAGAAATGGTGACAGATCTCTCGTTTCGATAAAACGCAGTGTGTCCTTCACGTAATTAGGAACATAATTGCATTAAACTATTTCAACAATTCCATTTGTAGTGATATTAAAAAAATATGTCTTCAAAATGTCTACTACAAAATGTAGTAGTTTAGAACTTAACAGTTTAATTTCAGAAATAGAATCTTATTTAAATTTTTAAGAATTAAAATAATATATTCTTGAAAACTCACAGAATCCAATGCCTAGATAGGGTATCAGACAATGGGTGTATGTATATGGTTAAAACTGCTTCGACAAAAGTAATATTCGATGCAGATCACTAGAAGGAGTAATTTGATGACCTAAACATTGCCATAAATTTTCAATGAAATACACTTAAAATGTTTTAAAAAATGTCCTAAAAACAAAGAAAAAGGCTTCAAAAATTTTGATTAGATCCACTTCAGAGGAACAGCTCAAGTTGTTGGATATGTTACTGATGTAATCGAAGCTTCTTCCTTTTGTTCAAGTGAACTCAGCTTGTAAACTTTTGGTTTGGACGGTTCTTGAAAACCTCTGCCTTTATGTATCGCGAAATCATCCGAATTGGCAATGTCACCGATAGGCATCACAGGGACCTTACATTACATAGTACTCACAACGGCTGACTTTACAATATATGAGCGAAGAAATCGAATAGGTTACTCAGGAATTCTGTGATGAACATTTGTTGCATCTCGTAAATATTGTTTGAAGCAAGTACCATTAAGATGTTCAAATCAATTATATCAGCGAAAGAAGCATTAAAAATGATGTAAATATGTAAAAAAGACTTACTAATATAAATTGACGAAAAATGAAAAAAATACATATAAAAATAAGTCATTTCTATTTGTCACAACATAAAATTAATTAATTACTGTACTAACACAAATTAAAATTAATTTCTGTACTAAACGGCATTGTTATTCAGTGAAATAAAAAAAATGATATTTCATTAAAATCCGGCACTGCAGATCTGCGTTTCCAGCGGCACAAAACCCTACACACGAGCCCCGAACCTAGAAGGCCTGCGTAGACCGGGCTGGTGTTCCGGGGCATCGGATATCGAGTTAGGCCCAGCCGAGCGCAGGCCAGCCGAGCGCAGGCCAGCCGACCGCAGCGTGTCTCGCACGCTTGCTCCGGAAGTTGGCTGCAGCGCCGCTCACTCGTCCGCCCAACTACCCTCGTCCGCCGACGAGCCCTGGCGGCGCGTTGCCAAGTCGGAAACGAGGTAGCCGCGTTCTACTTCCACGAAGGCAGCCTGCAGGCACGCATGCCTATCGGAGAAAGGTGTAGCAAATTGGTTTACCGGTGGTGGCCAGTGAAACCCTTCTCTCCCCGATAGAGGACGAAGAGGTTGGAGCGAGCTGCTTGCTCACCCGTAACGGACGACCCGGGGGAGGGAGGGCTGCAATAAAAAAGGCCCTATTTCAGGGGTGGAAAAAATATTGTTTGTCAAAAAAAAGAACCTGTTTTATCTGGCGAAACAAAGTGACTCCAGTATTAAAGTTACAATCTTCTTAATAACTGTGATCTGTATAAATACTCAATTAATGCCAAATTGAAGTGTCAATTCGTATTCCGTGATATTACCTTCAATTCGAAATTATTTCTTAAAGGAATGTACCAATAATTAGTAAAAAAAACTTTGTAATATGAGGACCCAACGCAAAAGATAGAGTTAAATAAGAAATTTCAGAGTCATTTTCGAATGTATTAACTCCATCCTCAGGAGCCCAAATTTTTTCTGACATTCTAAAAGTTTTTGTGTGTTGAACAGAGTGATCGTGGATTGCATTTTCGTGAGCGTGGTGTAGTATTCTATACACAGAGCATTGACCACTCTGTGAAGACGTTCCCGTGACAGTCACATTGTGCTTCTGGTAAATGGTAATTAATGTATCCTTGGCTATCCGGGATGAGCCGCGTCTCGGTCAATGGGACTCACGTTTCGGCCATCTTGCTGTGGCCTTCTTCAGAGCTATACCGCAGTATAAGATAGCCAAGAATACATTAACTCCGGCCGCGGATACCTACGAACCCAAATGGTAATTAATGATTGTTGTCTGATAAAATTATTTCTTTTACAGAATGTGTTTATATTTTTTTTAATTCACCACCCACGAAAGCAAATATAATTTTTTGTACACTGAATTTTCATCGCCACAAACCAAAACAAACTTATTAAATGAATGTTATCGTGCAGGTTTCGTAATTGGAAGGGATATGATGTATTGCTATTGGGGTCGGTTTATTGAGATCGAATTCAATGGATGCGTTGCTGCGCGCTGGCACAGTTTTAGGCTATCGACTTCCATTTTCAAAGACTTCTGTTCTCATTGAGCATCCATGTATTTTTTACTTCCTCGCCACGGAAGAGAGAGAAAGGTATGTAATGCTGCACGAAAACGGTAAATTTCGGCAGAATAACTCTTATTACAATACCCTAACAACAAAAAAGTGATTAAATCTTTATACAAAATTTAGAAAAAATTCTCTAACACGTGATGTAGCCATGACCCATATTTTGTGGGTCCTTCATAGCGAAAAGTCGAATGATTTCGGTCTTCTGTTCGTCTGGAACAAAGCTAACGGTTAACCCGTTCAGCCAATTTTCTCCAAAATTGATATTACTTTGACGATCCGACTGATGTCGCGACCCCATGAGTTTGAAATCGATATTTCAACTTTGGAGGTTACTTTACATGAAGCCCCTGGGACATTTTCCAAATTTTAAAGAAATGTCTCCTTTGTTTTGATTCAGTTTTGTTTTTAAATAGTGTGAGAGATGTTTAAGAACATGAATCAGGTCTCATGCTCTTTGAAAATCTTGGTTTTTCGAAAACTGCAAATGTTCAAAATTGGTTCGGAGTCACCTTACAACTCAAAATAGTAAATAGTCTGATAATATCGGTTCCTTAATGCTATATTTTGAAATAAGGTCGTGTACAATTTTCCGAATATTTGAGTACTTTTAGGGAATTTTGCGTTAAAATACAGAAATAAGCGAGAAATAACGTGCTGTTGCAACACGTTTATTTACATATAATGTATGTATATGTCAACCACAAAAATAATTGACACGACCGATTCTGAAACAAATGATGTTTCTCTACTTCTGGAGTCCCTGAATGCTGTGTACAGCTTATTTCAAATTCTTAGCGGTTCCCTAAGACGAGTATTACTTTACTTTCTTACAAACGCCGAATTTGACAACTAACTTTGGTGTTTACAGCGTTGTTGACATCACCCAAGCTTTTATGTAATCTCCCACATTAAGTTTCTCTATAACGTCAAACGCCCCGAATCCTTAACGCAACATATTTTGATCACACTTCTCACCACCCTCTTAAAATCAAATATGAAAACGAATCATCTAACTTCTTTCCAAGTCAGAGTTTCACGAGGTAGAGTACATGGCCCAGATCTTTACCATTTCTACAGGTTGGCAACGCACTCATCACCCGGACGACAAACGAATACTCAACAGAACTTCCCGCCTGTTATCAAGAAAATTACAAGAATTTCACTCGGAAGAAATGAAAGAAAGAATAGAAAAGTTGTCACCCTCAAAAGCTACAGATTACTCCTTATGGAAAATTATTAAAAATTAAAAAGGCCTACAAAACCTGTTCCCCCTCTTCGTAAAACCGATGGAAGTTGGGCTAGAAGGGAAAACGGCAGAAGAATTTGCAAAATATTTTGCTAAAAACATTTCAACCACACCCCTCAGCACTACTCACAGAAAAAAAAGAAATTATAGAATTCCTGGAATATCCTCATCAAATGTCGCCACCAATTAAATTCTTCTCAACAAAAGAAGTCACAGCAGAGCTGAAACTACTTACCAATCATAAGGTCCTGGGCATACCGTATTAACAGGGTGAAATGCTTTAAAAAACTGTCTTAGAAACTCATTGCCCTTGTAATATACATTTTTCAATGGAAAACTACCATGGACAACTATCCTCGCTGTGGAAATCGGCAACAATTACTTGTAAATTGCAAAACCAGGTAAACAGATACAAGATGTTTCCTTTCGTACAGACCAATAAGTATACTTGTCTTCGTATGTCTAAGGTATTCGACAAAACTATTAACTATTTTGCATATATCCTTTTACTTAAAGAAAATGACGCAATTCCAGACATCAAGTTCGGTTTTAGAAAAACGGCATTCTACAATAGAACAATTCAGAATAGTCGAACCATCAACCGAACCTCTAGAAAATAAAATGTATTGTCCGCTTTGTTTTTCTGATATTGCGCAACGCGTTCGACAAAGTGTGGCATCATGGCCTGTTATATAAAATCAAGATATGTAATCTATACCTATAATATACATTCGACTCTTTAATTCAGATCGATTTTTTCAATAAAACTCGCAGATTTGCAATAACACGTTTTCATCCAATTATTAATCAGAATTTGCCACATGGGAGCATTCTTGGACCCAGTGCTGCTAATACGCTGTTACCCGCTGACTTACCTCAGTCCCCAGATGCTCACCAACTGCACCATTGCAATGACACAGCTCTGCTAGTTCGGCCCGAAACAAGAAAACGGCAACAAGAACTTGAAAGAACACTTTGAACTATAAACAAATGGTGTAAACTCTGGAGATAAGATGAATGAAAAAAGTCCAAAATGTATATTTATCCTAGACGAACAAGAAATACAAGAATAGAATAAACGGAAAACTTAATTGACAAAACGTGACACCATCAAATATCTCGGACTACTCTGACAAAAGCTAACTTGGACGAAACATATTTTGATTAAAAGAAAGGAAACAGAACTGAAAAGTAGACAAATGAAATATGGTTAATTAGGAAGAAAATCTTGACTTAAGTCTAGAAAAACAAAATTTTATTTACATAATACGTAATCGTATTCGGTATTCAAACCAGAACGGGCGAGGAGCAAGTTACTCATTTTCCCAATAGAAAACCAATTCAACTCCCGCATGGGAACTTCCGCAATCGTATAAAACTCACTGGAAAACGGTATATCACGTGGGCAGAGCGGTATCTCGACAGATTTTTATTAAACCTCGAGCGGGTGAAGGCGATATGCCCTATTTGTTTAAGATAATCAATATTTCCATTATATGCAAGTTTACCAGACGATTCGGAAAGGCAGTATAGTTGGTTCCAATTTTCAAAAATCAGTGCAAAACGAAAGTATGCTAATTATAGCTGTAATCCCTCACTATCAGTAGTCATGCAAAATAATGAGCATTTAAGCCAGGTACATTCGCTCCGCGAATGGGAGAAAGGCGAACTGATTTTCCACGGACAGATGGTTTAGAAGTGAACATCGTGCGACTCTCCATGTGAACACACATCAAATGATGCGTTTATCTTGCAACGATTGTTTATATACCGAAACTCAAAGATAGCGCTGACGACAAATATTACAGGCAGGATTTAGGCATTACCGTGATTGGGCCTAAAAAAATGACATGGGAATTAATGGATCTAAAAGCAAAACAATAACGTTCGGCAGAGGACGAAATTATGAGGAACCAGGACTATAGTTTAGGTGAGGTTATCATCCCGCAAAGTCTCATCATGCAAGTTTTAGGGCACTTCATAGACTAGATAGTAAATTAGGGTGGGAGATGCATATAAATAGACAGTAAGAAAAAACGTGGAAATCTTTGCATTTTGTAATGCGAATACTAAAGAAAAGTTTCTGCAAACGCCAAATAGTTAGCATATCATACGCTGGTTCGCCCTCTCATGCGAAATCCGAGTTGCGTGTTGGGATCCATACAGAAAGGAACACCGGAAAAATATGAAATACAGAGAAAAGCGAATAAATTTACCTATGAAGTAACGCACAAAAAAAGTCATGGGAACCTCTAGAAACGAGAAGAACAAAGGCGAGGCTTTGCGCGCTCTTTATAAATCCGTACGTAGGTCAACCAGCTTGGAAGGAAATTCAAATTAGATTAGAAAACCGAATTATTTCGCCGAAGCGATCACACCCACAAAATTCGAGGAAGGAAACAAAATTCAGATCTTGGAAGTTTTCCTTTTGTAACAAACAATTAGAGATTGGAACAGTTTACCTGCAGCAGTTTTCAAAGCTTTTCCTCTCAGTGTCCGAAGTTTTAGAAAACAAATTAGAAAAATATAATTAAATAAGTATGTTGCTGTGTAGTGCGGTGAAGTGCTGTGAAGTGCTGGTCGTGTGTAATTCAAAGGAATCAAAGCAAAAAAAATGTAGTT